AATATACTTTTACAATGCCTAGGATAATTACAGAGCTCTGTACCTGAACGCAACCGGGAAGAGTTTGTGTTTCTCCATCTCTCAGAGAAAATGAGCCCTACCATGAAGTTCGAACCACGACCCTTGACCTTTCTCCCTGCGGGTGCTTGTTAAAGCGCTACACTCTTCTCTCTCTCTCTGTTTTGCTGCCTTACACGCATATGGACACACCCACTCTGAGGATCAGAGAACATGTGCGGCACTTTGAGAGGATGCAAATACTCTGTGCTTCCTTTGAGAACCGCCCATTTATCATCTCATGCAAACATGTACAGTTTATCTAGTTGAGATTACAATCTCTGCTACCTTGCTCAACCAGTTTGATTGGCAATGAAGTGCAAGAGAAAAGATGATGAATGGTATGGCAAAAAATGTCAGACATGCCTTTTAGAATGTTTCTATAACTGGCCATTTCCATATAATTGACTAATTATTTCACAATTATTTAGCATGATGCTCCTTTGATCATATAAACTGAAAGAATACATAGAATGTTTGTACGTATAATGTTTCTGTCACACCAAAAGACCATTTAAAGTGTTTAAAGGATGTGATTTAAACGATGTGACCATCTTGCTTATTGAAAAAAAAAAGCTCATTGAAAAATGTGTAAAACTTAAAAGGAGGAACTAAAACATGCATTTTCTTATACATGACTAATTTATCAACACCAAGCTTGATATTGACATATTCTGTGCAGTCACTGAAATAATATTACCAAAAAAGCTGCATGCATAAAATAATTAGTAAATTCTGATTAAAACAGCTTAAGATGTTACAATAAAAAAAACAAAATTAACTGTTTTAAATGCTAGTGAATTTAGGACTCAAACTACCATAATTATTACAAATTTTAAATTATAATAATTTTCAAAAAACGTTATTATATTTTTGCATTAATTATTATTACTAAATTAAATATATATAATTGTTTAAAAAATAATATTTATTTTGACATTTGCTAAAAAATTACATTCAACAGTGTGTTCAAAGGTAATCTAAATATTTAAAAAAAAAAAAGGGGGAAAGGAGCATGCATAATTTTTAAAATGCTAAATTATGTTTAATTGTTAAAAGTAAATAGCTTGAGATGTTACAATACATTTTTTTTACTGTTTTAAATGCTAGTGAATTTAGGACTCAAACTATCATTATTATTAACAATTTTAAATTATAATAATTTAAAAAAAATTATAATATTTTTGCATTTCCACCATCATTCATTGTCACAAGCAGAAAACACTGCTCAGTAGCCAGGAATCAACACCAACTCCTCATATGTCAACGCTCTTGGGCAAAAACATCCGGTTCCTCACTCAATCTACAGTTGGGATTGTCGCCATGTCCTTCAACGGCACTTGAAATCTTCCAGCTGACTGTAAAGCACGGTGGTTAAGACTCGAATCACGAACGCCGTTGCTGACTATGCCAAAACACAAGCCGTCCTTGACACGGTTGTCTTCAGATCTAATGATAGAATATACTTTTACAATGCCTAGGATAATTACAGAGCTCTGTACCTGAACGCAACCGGGAAGAGTTTGTGTTTCTCCATCTCTCAGAGAAAATGAGCCCTACCATGAAGTTCGAACCACGACCCTTGACCTTTCTCCCTGCGGGTGCTTGTTAAAGCGCTACACTCTTTCCTCAATGCGCAGATGCCTCTCAGCAGTGGTGCGGACCACAGCTAATTCTCAGAGCAACTCCAACGTAATTCAATACAAGCTAGGCACATTGGAAAGGGATCCATGCTTTTCCCCGAATTAATTTCCTTCGTGAAATACGACTTCATTCGACAATCCTCCTCTTCGCTTCAGCTCACTGATAGACATGATTTAAGCTGTTTATTTCTGATTACATTAATCAAGCAATCACTTCATCTGTAATCACGACAGACGTGAAAAGTCTGTCATTTGTTTCCTTATGTTTTATTTATATGGTTGCACTTGTAAATTAATCTGGTTACTCTCATTCTTTCTCTCATTCTCTTTTCTATCTCTGTATGTAGAACTGCACAACATAATCGCAGAAATTAAGTCCAACAGCCATTTTTAAGCTGAAGTGTGTCATTTATGCACCAAACACAAAATAATAATTCTTCAAATAGGTTTTATCTGCCATTGGGCAGGCAAACAGATAGCCCCGCCCCAAACTCATGCTATTGGTTGAGCCAGTGATAGATGCAAGCAAACTGCAATTATTAATTAACTAATTAATTAAAGGGATACTTGACCCAAAAATGAAAATTCTGTCACCAGTTACTCACCCTCAAGGTTTTCCAAACCTGTATTTTTATGAACACAAAAGAAAATATTATGAAGACTGCAACCAAACTATTGCTGGTAGCCACTGACTTCCATAGTTTGGAGAATAAAATACTGTGGAAGTCAATGGCTAACAGCAACTGTTTGGTTTAACAACACTCTTCAAAATATCTTCTCGTGTTCAATGGAAGAAAGAAATTCAAACAGGTTCGGAACAACATGAGGGTAAGTAAACGATGATAAAATTTTCATTTTGAAGTAAACAATCTCTTTAACACTGCTATTATGTTTACACTTTTTCAAGAAATCAGCTGAGAAATGGCTCACTTGCTAGTAAATTCCACAAATAATTACAAAGAATTGGCAAACATTGTACTATACATGAAAGTAGAAAGACTGAAATAGTATTTCCTTGTAAAATGTCCTCCAATAATCTTTGTTTATTTACAGCTTTGAAAAATCAGGTTTTGCAGTGTTGTTGTCTAAGCTGAATGATGAGAAAGCATTTTAAAAGTACTTAAAAATGACACACTTGCGTTTAAAGCTATAATATTCTTCCAGGTTTTAACTTGAACACAATTACTTCAGGCTCAACGATAATCACAAAGCAAACTGAGGCAATAAAATAAAGCAATCAACGGTTTAAGTCATAACAGCCTCCTAAACCAGACTGTCTCTTTAAATCATGGTGTTAAAGCAGCATTGCAAACAGACCCATTCACAGTCAATGGGACCTGCCTGACAGGGAAGTTTCCTCAAAGTTGCAAGCCTGCAGTGAGCACCAGGTCTATGCTAACATGCCCGAAAACCCAAAGAGAAAGGAATCCAGTTAAATCTGTGACAGTGTTACCGGGTTTGCAGATAAAAAAAAGGCCCAGAGTTTGTTTTAGCAGAGCTTTAGTCAGTTATTTGTGAAGAAAGAGGATCAGGGGCAACGTCAACCGGGATTATGCAGGTCTATTACATTCGGCTTAAGGTTTCTGTCAAAATCTCTGCTCGGAGCAGTTCCACCCCGGGCCTGCCAGAGGCTGGAAACTGAAGGAGGGACAGTGATCTCAGAATGGGATGGTCTAGGCACAGCTATGGGATGGTTTAAACCAAGCTACCGGAAACAAACGTCAGTACATACAAATAGACAGTGTTGGGGAAAGTTACTTTTAAAAGTAATACATTACAATATTGCGTTACTCCATAAAAATGTAA